GTTTAGGTGCAGAGATATGCATGCTTGAGAGAAAGGGTGGTTGCTGTCCAAACACTTTTTACAGAGGGAGCGGTAATCTTCCATTTACCCTCTCCCAGGGTTAACTGATAGCGGTACGGTCTATCTGTACCCACTGTTGAGTTGAGGTCAGTGGATGCAACGTGAGAAAATTCCTCCCTTTATGTCTGGAGTCAAAGTTGGTCAGGAATATATAGTTATCTCACCCCAGTTGTAGCAGATGATCATCATTTTTCGTTTGCTCGGCTGGAATTCCGAGAGTGCCACCTAGGTGCCTTTATGACTGATTTAACCCACTCACTTGTACATTAAAATTACCTGCTACGCCAAACACGTCTGAACGTTTTGCTCAGAGTGGGAGGCCAGACAGTTCTTGGCATAATTCATTCTTCACTTAATCTGAACTGCAGTCATTACGTAGGTGGAGATTATCTTCACTGTAACATTCAGTAGAACAGTGCACAGGTGACTGTCAACTGGGATTCAGTTGAGCTTTAAATTTTCTGTTTTAGTACCTAATGCCATACATACACCCAAAAGACAACAAGAACTGCTGGTCGAATCCCCAGAAACTCGAAGGGGTAATTTTGCGTTATCATCTTACTGACCAGGTGACATTAAGTGAATAACTACACTTTGGTTCTGCAGGCGTGTTTGACTAAATGTACACATCTATAACCCAAGATGCAAGAGTTCTGGTTAGTGAATTTTTTTGACCTATTTGAGGGAGTTTGGACATTGGAAGGTTCAATATGTAATTTGAAATTTGGTTTGAAGAGATCAAAGATGCTATTCGTGAATTCAGATCATTGTGGAACTACAGAGCTGAAAGGAATGGAAGATAGTGTAGGAATATCGACCGAGAGAGGTGAAGAACGATTAAAACGGAGGTAAATGGAACTTTGATTATGATCTCAACAAACTTAATTGCTTAAAGATGTATGGGGGCAGTTGGTATTTCCTGGCCTTCCATGATGTGGAAGGTTAGTTCTTCCTTAGGTACGTGAAAAGGAAAGTTCGGCATATATATCAATTGAACTGTTCCTGTGGAACTAGTTACATAAAACGCATGATAAGGCAGGCGCGTCTCCGGATACGAGAGCATTTACCAGCTTGGTTCAGAAAAGGCGAAGTGAAAGTGGTGAAAAGTTCAGTTCTAGATCATCTATTCGACACAGGGCATCACACAGATGCCATTGAAGCTTTCGATGTCATTCAACATGTTCCGAAAACGACACCACGTGTAGCTCGCCAACGCTTGCTCAACATATTGGAGGCTGTCGCAATAAGATTGATCAAGCCAGTACTCTGCATTTAGAAAGAACATGTCCAAAGATTACTTGTCCTTTGGTCTTCAGCTAACTAAAGGCCACTCCTGACATCTTATTCGTTATCTTTTTGTTCACCATCATATCATTCTTCTGTACATGCATCATCCCATTATTGACTAATTTTAAAAAAATGAATCGATTTCCTTACAATTCCTATATCTCATTCCATTTTGAAAATGTAACTGCCCATAACGTAGCTGTAAAAATGCATTTTATAATTATAGAACCTGAGAATTTATTGAAAAGAATATTCTTCGTTTAGATTGCTACTTTTTATAAATCCCAAGAAGATCTGCTTGAGCTCGATAACACACGGCTGATTTAGAAGTTCCAGATTTTATTTTATTTTTGTGAATCCACCTATGAGTAGTCACCACCCGTACCGGTGTTAGGGTTAGGGTAGAGGAGAGAGTGTTATTTTTAAGGTTGACCTTTTCCAACTCCCCTACACCTTTCCATTGACAAGACAGCATCCGCGTATCACTGCTGGTCATTCAAAGGAAACACCTTACCGCCATTACACTCCCGTCTATTCAAAAGTATAATTCCGCTCTTGGACCCCCATTTTAGCTTACTGATTTAGAGCATAACGGCAACCGCTTTCTGTCTAACCACTATCTAAATGACATTTATGATATGGTAGGGCATCTAAGAAACAAGCGTTTCACTAGCATATATCGTTTGGTCATTGTGATATGCAAGTTCAACCATCACGTCAAGGTAGCATTTATCGGTCGGAAGGCAGGTACATTCAGTTGGTAAGTCGCGAACAGAATTTAAAATGCATCCTGGATAGTATTACTAGTAAATTATAACCATCGTAATAAAGAAATACATGATTTCCTTCAAGTTTTTTAATCAAAACCTACTGAGATTGGAATATTAATTTTCGCTCTTATAAATCAAATTTATAGAGAACGAAATTCATTGGTATGGATGAGAGTGACTAAAATTCTTCTAGAAATGTAGAATATTTGGTAGATACATTTTTCTTATCAACTGAGATATTTAGAGTAGTACTTATGAAATGAACTCCTTATAGAGCTAAAAGAAGCGTGCTTATAACCCCCGTCAGTTTGTTTACTAGATTTTCAAATAAATAAAACTGGATACCACTCATGCGTACACAAACATCCGTTGTAATTGAAACTCGATATTTTTTATGGTACAGGCAACTCAAACAGTCTATTTAAAAGGTTTCAAAGATGAATGCACGCAGTGATATGAATTTCGAAACGCTTAGAATGTAAGTAATTTAAATCTTGTTCATCAATCAATTGTCTATCTTTCTGACGGTCGAATTAAGTATTCTGCACAGAGCTTTTAATTTACTTTAGGTGTCATCTTCAGTGCTGCTTTATGAAGAAGCGAAATTCTTCACCTACGTGTCACACTATTTAGGACTAGTGAGTCGCTCAGTTAATGATGCTGTTTTTCTTGAAACTTGAACCTAAAACATATCACACCAAATGCCAATAATGACTGATCTGATCAAAGACGGAGAACTATAAGCTATAAAATCAAACTGTACCCGTCGCATAGGCAGTGGCTTTAAAGACAATGGAGTTTTGGGTTAGAGTCTCAGTGGGAGCAGAATTACTCACTGGGAAAGAGGTGCATCTAGGTAACGCGACCCCATTGTAGATAGTCACTCACCTATCAATTCAGTACAACCAAAAAAAAAAAAATTATAAGATATAGTATCAGATTTAAATGTATTTTTAATAGCGATGTTGCTCACAAGGTGCAGAATAAGAGTATCTCCACCTTACCCTCCATTAAAACATTTTTATAGATCTATTATCAAAGCCTGAAGAATATTTTTCTTGGTCTGTCGATAAATATCTACCCACTTTTGATGCAAATCAATTAAAATTATTCTTTGAAATATATAAGGAAATGATGGGAATTTAACGTATCTTTAAATACCCAAAAACTTCAAATAAATAGGATGAAGGTGATAATTATTTTGAGAATTCCGAGTTTTGATGTTTGTTGTCGGATATTTCATCACCAGTCTTGGCAACTTCATCAGCATTTACTTAATATTGAAAATGTGTGAAAACAAATTATGGGACAGCATGGAATATATTGTAATGCTCCCAGTCGATTTAGTACTTCACCCCTGATGTAGTGACCATCACTGATGACCAGTACTTAACTTGAAAGGAACCTTCCTATTCTACTGACTAAAAACAGTTAAGTGAAGCAAAGTATTAATTTTTCCTACAAATTTTACCCAAACACATACTTCTATTCGATAAAATTTAAAGCTTTATGGAAATTATGCCAACATACAGGGATCCCTATCATTAAAGAACCTCCAGTAGTACTTGGACATTAAATAGTTTTAATGAGAACTGTGATGCATTTGAATATTTTGTTGAAGTATATTTATTCTCTTCGAAACCTGTACAGTTATCTTTTGGTCACGTTATGCAATAAAATCTTAGCAGTCGAAGTGGTAACAAAAAAATGAGCTGAGTATTCAAGACAGTTCAAGTATAGAATGTCAATGGTAAATGCTTTATTAGCAAGATCATGATGGCAAGTCGTTATGCGTGCATTTTATGCAGCAAACTGATGATATGAAACGTAATTCAGAATAAGTAGTGGTTAATAAAATATAGATCCACCAACAAATTACGGTTCCAACCTAAATCCAACAATGATCTTATTTTATTGTCTAACTATCCTTTGAGGACCCTTCAATTTACGACTTCACTGTCAATATCGTTAACCTAGTCGTATTATTGCTTCTATAGCTGAGTTCATTTTGATGAGTAACACTATCGTCGGAATTTTAGTCTTAGTTGACATCCATCTTAAAAGTGACAGTACGAACCAACAACATGCAAACTGAAGTTCATCAATTTTTCAAAAAGCCTTCAGAAACAAGAGGCAAGATCAACTAAGTAAAAACAAAACTGGCAAGAAACTTTTGTGTTTTAGAATCGTTTTAAAAAATGAGTCAATTTTTCATGTACCTTTTCGACTTTCTATTAAAAAAGGCACTTAGGAAAATAATAAGCGTTAGTTGACAACATAGTATAATGTAATATACCCACGAAAAAAAGTTACGCCACATTTCTTAGGCTTTTCAATGATTTATTAAATATAATAGACAACAAATGAAATAAATGTAGGATTTCGAACTGAAATGCATTAGTTCAAGTTGCTATACTTTACATTAGCATACAAATTATAATTGGGTGGTAGGAGATTGATAACAGAATAGACAACTGTGTGTGGAATGAGAGACAATTTGGAATAAATACGAACAGCACCTTTTTGTGAGCTTCCACCTTAACATGAAAAAGTTATCATTGTTAATTTCAACCAAAGGTTGTATATAAAAGCTTCTTAATTATCAGAAAACATTGAAAGATTGATACAATCATTCCTTAATGCAATTTACTTGGGTTATGTCAATAAGTAAATATAGACTTAGACGCACGACTGCATTTTAACCATGTTGTATTAAGTACACGTCAATGAATCCTTACTTCATTTAAATATGCAAAAATCACTGCATTGTATTGTAACCTTATACTCATAGGTAAATTATGATCCCTTCTCGTGTTGGATCATAAGGACACAAAGCTGTCACCGAACTACTAATAAACAAATCAGTAAATAAATATAACTTACAACTTTTGTACAGCTAATCCACGACGACCAGATAATGGAGAACCTTCACTTAAATTTCCAAGGGATAAGCGTGAGGAACCATTGAGAGTTAATTTCAAGCTATCTATTCTTTTACGAGGTGGATCAGCTGTCCATTAAATGGAATGAAAATAAACAAATAAGGCAAAAATTATTGTCACAAATATTTCGTTAGAGATTCTAATAACTAATAAGTTTGTAACCGTGTATCAAAGGATTTCCCTATGAGTGTTTCGATGTGTACTACGTAATAAACATGGATGAAAATGAAATCATCAAATGCATACAAAATCTGGTGCACCATAGATTTTTCAGGTTTAAGCCTTACGCCTACTAAAATGTTGTTGAGCTCAAACAATAATAAATTCAGTCATCTTAATTACATTTCACTTTATTAGATATATCATGCTGTAAAACAGTTTCAGTTACCGGATTGTATTTTGGACGTAATTTGAACTCAAGGTCACTATGATAGGACTGCGGGCAAAAAACTGTGTCCCAGACATAATCCAGTAAGTGATATATTTAATGAATCAATTGCAATAGAATTAAATCTTATCACAATGCCCAGGTTTTACTTTTATACTTATCATACTCGATAGAAAACTTCTAATCGTATAAAATATTGAAGAAAATGAGGTATACGTGTGCATATAATATCTTTCTATCTGTCTTAATAAGGATAAAATCGTTTATTTAATTCACTTTATCGTCGTATTACAGTTACTTTCTATTTTATGATTTCGCTTAATATTTGAAACTAGCAATAGTTTTCTTCTGCTGTAACTCAAACGCGTTCTCAAAACAATACAGAACATTTATTTTCTATCTATGTAAGCATGATAATTGCTGTCTGTTTCTTAAGATATGCATATACATTATTGACAAAGTTAACAATAATTGTAACGATGAAAATAATTCCTTATTTATCAACAGTTTCAGTAGTATATAACAGTTGAAGATAAGTAGTCTGTAAATCAACTACGATGAAATCAAGATTGGTAAAGAAGCACATAAAAGTTCGAAATGATGAAAAGGATTTATAGTTCAGGATAAAGATGATGGGAATTCGCTGTCCTCTGAGCTTTGGTATTTTGACGACAAACTAACAAAGCTTAGAGGACACCGAACTACTACCACATAACAGTTAAATAATGCGAAACATAAACGTAGGTAATACAAAGTAGTACATAATATGATCAGTAGCCCAGAATAAGTGAACCCACTAAGATATATGTTTACATAGTTATTCAAAACCCATTGAGTTGACATCAATGTAACAGTCATCTTCGTAACAATCTAACCAATGCCTAATGAAAACCTGTTCATCGTCTTTCGAATCCAAATTAGTTGTAAACTTATTAATTGGACACACCTTTGTATTTCGAATTCCGTTCAGAATGCGAAAGGATTAAACAAATTAGGAACACTTACGATAATCAAAAGAAATGGTTTGATATATATATATATATATATATATATATATATATATATATATATATCCATTTACCAAAGGACAGAATGAAAATGAGTATGTTACACTTAAAAATGAAGTAGAGAATTTCTGACATGTTAATTAACAAGACAGTGATTATGTTTTTAGTATTTTGTTGTTGATATGAAGCAATGCTCATTTGAAGTGAATCAGCTTTCAAATTACAGAAAAGATTAATAAAGCATCTACTAAAAATGTTAACAGATTAGCTGACAACAATCATACAGTACACTATATAAGAAAATAACTCCAATAAAATAAGAAGTTATTAAATCAAAACAGAGTATTCGGTTTAATAACAGTTCAGATTATCAAGATGGACATTAATGATAGTCAGAGCTATCTGATGAGATAACAACCAGATCACACTGGCATCATAGATTTCATTGCTACATGCCAATATAGAGGTAGTATTCATCACAGGCTGACACCCGTTGGAGAACCACTGAAAATCTGGGAGCAATGGATAGCCATTTCTTCCTATAATGAGACTCTTCACCAGTAAGCACCCACAACCTGGCTAGGAATAGAACTCTGGACCTTCAGATTTCACGGTGAACGCCTTAACCATCCAGCCACTGGATAGTAGTCCAGTAGTTCACAGTTTCCTACTTCTGTCAATTCGCGATATAGTGCGACTATCACCAAGGCTCTTCACTTGGCATCTGTTTCACTTCCGACTATTTGACCCCACAGGTTACGAGTTCTCATTCAAACTTCGGGATATGCATCTGGAAGTATGTCAATAATGAGTATTATGCAGTTATGTATTTTGAGATGCATGGGGATTTTAATTTTGTCATGTCAACATGTCAATATAGTTTTAATAGAAAAATGCTTGGCGCTTTTGTAGAAATTATTTTCAAGTAGAATTGATATATTTTCAATAGACTATTTCTGACTATAACAGCTTGTTCTTTTACTTGACTTTACTTGTACATTTAAAGCATAGAAATCAGTTGACTCATATATACGTACGTGTTATGGTAGTCCCAAAAATATCTGTTCCTTTTCCTACTGAGAAAAAGTTTGCATTTTCCTCATTTATAGACAAACCAGAAATATATCAGTATATGATATGAATACTAGGAAACTTACGTCATGTCAATTTTAGTTAGATGGAATTAAAATTAACAAATAAAACCCAATGCATAGATTTTTACTCAATAATTGATATACGTGATTTATCTGGCAGAAAAATGTCTTTTTCTTTGTATTTTACACAGAAAAAGAGAGGTAAACAACTAGCCCTAATAACTTATATCTAGATGAAAAAATAAACCACTTTTTGACCATATGTTCGACATATTTGTAGGTCAACCATAAAGTGATCTAAATTACATCTCAGATACTCTTCTGGATAAGGTATTATATTATTTGGCTTGAGTAATGTTGAGTAACTTATTGAAAATTGAATAAGGTAAATTTTTATTTCTTTTGACTTGTATTAATCAAGAAGAATTTATTTTGAGTATATATGTGAACACACCAACCATTAGAAGATTTATACACATGGTAGTGAGTTAATGATACACTCTCCCGAAATGTGAAAAGATGGGAAGATGTTCAAACACTTGACGCCTTAACAGAAAGTTGACATCAACTCTACATCTATCATTCAATACAGCATCTACTTACTCCAAATTTACTGTACATGATCATCATATCTTATTGCAAGAAGTGTAATGTTCATAACTAAAGTGTATAGAAACTGACACTTTAGGGTGGAATCAATCTGTTTTAGGACTTTTGAACCTCAATGGTTCGAGGAAAAAAAATGTTTACTGTCATTCAAAATAAAATATGCCGATAGTAGAGATTTCAAAGGGAGATATGATATCCAAATGTTTAATGAAAGAAAATGACTTCATGCATCTAGTAACTCTTTAGGGATAAGCATAATATATTCTTTTACATAGACTGACGAAGTAAATTTAGGCAGCTACAACCATTGAATAGTAAGACTATCACAGATACCTAGGAATAAAGCGTTGAAATATGCATTAACTAATTCAGTAATACTTTGTTCGAATGATATTGTTGATTTCACAGCCTGATAGCAAAACAAAACTAAGTACAATGTTTACTGATGTTGTCTAGATCTGTGGGCTAACTAATTACCTCAGCAGTGTGATCACTGACTATTTAGCTCAACATAATCTTGTATGTTATTTTGAACTGAGTGACTGGAAAAATCCAGGAGACAGTCAGTATGAAGCATCAGCACAACTGTCATAAGTATGAAAAAGAAGTTTATATTGTATTAAAAAGGTTGTTGATTCAAACTTTGATGAAATATAAGTATTCTTTTAGCTCAAGTCACTCGATCCCTTAACAGTTTATCAAACAAGGCTATAATTTAAAAAAAATCGCGTTATCGACACAGCAATAGTCAAATTTTTGATAATTTCCAAAGGATCAAAGCCCTTAGAAAACCTTATGGAAATAAGGTATGTCCCCCAGTGAACAACTTATGGGGTTGTAAATCTGAAGGTGAAAGGAGTTTGTGAAGAGGAGGGAAAAGTAATAAGAATCAATGAAACAGAGAGTAGTAATTAAAGTGAATGATTAGGTATGACAAGTTTTTAATCATTAGGCAAAAACACAGAAATAACCATGGTAAGAGAAAATATATTCATGCAAACATGCTTCTCCCCTATCACTTTCTAATAATTGAACAGTTAACTAAAAATAAATTATAAGAAATGTAAAGCATATCAAATAATCAGCCAGTGAAATCAATTCAATGTAATACACACAGAACGATAAACAATAGTGCAAGCACATATAATAATATAATAATAATTAAAATAGTACACTAAGAAATCGCAATTTGATTACCTTTTGCAGAACCTAGGCTTTCTAGAAGTTATGTATATTGTGAAAATTATATTATGCACATTATGAATTGAGTAATATTAATGATGAAATCCAACAATTGCATTAGGCACGACAGAATTTGTACATACATAGATGACGGAATAAGAAGACAGGGTGAACATCAATTGAACGGTTGTTTTTTGACATCAACATAGAATGATTTTATCGTGATTTCGATGTTTGTTTGTTTATTTGTTCCATAGTGAAAAGGAAACAAAGGGAAAGAAAAAGAATTTGGACAAGCAACAAGCAATGAATAAATTATTATCATAATTATAATTAAATAAAGCAAAATAAGCAATCAACTACTCAAAATAACATTTTTTTTTAAAAATATTTTGATGAGGAGAAGGCAACCAAATTATAGAAAAATTCAATGCAATGAAAAAATATACTCATTGACTAATATGTTGTATGTATGCATGAGTCAGTTGCGTGTATTGTGAAGTTAACAAGCAAATTTTAGAAGCAAAGCTAAAAATAGAGTCAAATAAACAACCGTTTAACTGAGACCATCATAAAAGAGTATATATAAAAATACTACCTCATTTGAAGCACACAAAAACGAACAGAAATATGTTATTCGTCACAAATTCATGCGTACAATCAACTTCGTTTAGTAGCCGAGCGCGAAAAGATGATAATGATGATGAAAGCTGACAGAACAAAATGTTGTGTCATACAGAGAAAAGAAAATGTGTGAATATGAATATCCAGATTAAAACTCAATACAAACCCTAGGATTCAGTTTATTGACAATGCAGTACTTTTTTTCATTGGAGAATAACAATTTACGATATTATTATCTAATGACACACAGCCTGTAACATGCGAGTCGAGTCTTTATTTTGAATAAATATTGTGAGCAAATACTCAAAAAACACTCCCTTTTGGAAGAACTTAGATTGATAAGTAGTATTAATAAATAAAACCCAAAATAATCGTTAACTAACTCTCCGTAAATTAATGAGTAAGTCTACAATTTTGACCAACCAAAACAAGCCTTTCAATTAACTAAAAAAGCTACAATGCAAAGTAATGAAACAGTCACATAATGTGTTCCCTTAAACCTGTACATCAAAACAAGATGAACAATAAATAAACTAGACAAGTTAATAAATATGAACTCAATCTTGTTCCTTTTGCTTTGATGATCATAAAACCATGCGTATTTCCTCTTATGAAGGTCTTTTCATACTTGCGTTCTAGCAAAAAAAAAAGACTAAAAGATGAGTTGTTATGGGTTAATCGGTAAAAAGTATCGAGACTGCATCATGTCTACTTCTATATGAAGTAAATGCTGACCAAGTCACCTAGCCTGGTGATGAAACATCCAAGAACAAACCTCAGCTATACTTCTTTTTCTCCGCTATTTTCTACAATCTCACAACCAATAAAGACTTTCTGATTTACAGATTCATGTTCAATTAGGACAAAAAAGCATATTGCTGCTTATCAATTTTTTTAAGGCAACTACTCTATTCACCATTTTGTGTGCTGTGTTTTCGAATACATAAACTATTAGAACAACATACAAATTGTGCACATTTCACAAGATAAATTTTGTAAAGATCCTACTGTTTGAATTGAACACTAAGCATAACAAAAGAATAAAGTAACAGTGGTATTGTCATGGTGTTTAAAGTAAAATTAAACACTAGGATGACATTTCGGTTTCCTAAAATCCTCTTCATCACTTTCGTCTTGTGATATCCGTTATCGGTATCAGTATCAATACAATTATTTACCACTAAAGTAAATATTCATCACAAAGTAGAAGTGAAAGGAAATGCACCTAAGCAAACATTATAGCAATGACAATTTTTCTTCTCATTATCTAAGCTTGATAAAACATAAGCATAGGCAATTTGCATACAACGTCAGCCAGTATGTCATGCCAAAATAACAATCATGATAAAAGAAGAAAACATGCGGAACGAAATGAAAAGTATAGAGGTATCAAAGGAGTCACCTTAGCCTCATTCAGATTATGCGAACGGAGAAGATGAACCGTACACATTTCTTGGAACATAAGGATAAGTGAAAGAGGTAATACCTAAGTTGTATTTGTGAGGTGTAAGATGTGACAAAACAAGTCGAACAAAAAAGTGGAAAGAGCATATATCCTGGCTTATGGTACTGAGAGAGATGATAAATAAAAGAGGTTGACGTGAATCTCATCGAGTGCGGGCATAAAAGAGGGGAATATAAGATTATCGGTGATCAAAAGAAACATCATCTAACTACTCTACGTATTACGGTTTCTAACTCACAAAGTACTAGATGGCTGACTGAAAAGTCAGTATGTGACATAATGGGTGTCAAGAACAGTTAAAGATACGCATGTATCTTGATACAGAGATCCAAACATGAAGTTAGATGGACAAATTACTACTAAAACTAAAATCAAAGTAACCATTAAATCGTGCAATTATGTTGCTCATCAAAGATTGTTAAAGGAAACCAAAAACGCAAATCGTCTTCAACTGAAGTACCTATAAAACAGAGTTGCGGAAAAAACTAAAAGCTGCCGATTTGGAAAACTTTGTCTTTATGCGCATCTATATCGATAGTAACAGTGATTGCTGAAAACAGGAAGAATTGTAACATATAACTGATCATTTTTACAAATAACTTTAATTGGAAATAAGAAACTTATGCCCATCTCAAATATTCATGTATGATTTAAAACGTTTGAGATATCATTTGATTTTTAGGCAAATTAAGAAATAACAATAAAATCACATATTTCGTAAACAATTAGGTGGATAAATTAGTAAGCGGTGATAATTGATCGATTATCCAAATAGAGGGAAAATCAAACGAAAAGATAGATAAAATAGATAAGGCTAAAAGTTATTCTCAGATGTTATAGCGTTCTGTGTAAAAATACGTATTTTCTGTGCCTTCTTTGCATATATTTTGAAGTGGAAAATGCAATCATAAATCCATTTCGCTGGAATTTGAAGTGTCAGACAACTCACTTTGACTTGTGAGCATCATTCTTCAATACCCACATTCCAATCTAAGAGGTGGGAGTGTAACCAATACTTTTCACATCCATAAATGATATGAAACAGGATTCATTCACATACAGGGTTTTAAAAACTATACAAATAGGTAAAATATGCATACAACATACAGAAAATATGCACATTTGCGCACAGAACTCTATAAACCATAAAAATCACTAAAACACTCCGAGATAAATTTCCGCCTCCTCCGAAAATAAAAGATAATGGTAATACGAATAAGAACAATAGTGACAACACGAGTAGAAATAAGTTCAAAGCCTCTATTGTGTTACCATATAAGGAAGGAACATCAAAAACTTTAAGAAGGATTCTCAACAAAGTTGAAAATAGTGGCATTTTAGCCTACAAACTCACTCAGAGATAAGCTTTGTCGGCTGGCTTAGGGATCCGATAGAATCAATTAAGCAAGATAATCTCATCTACCAAATTCCATGTATTGACTGCGAGGTTAAGTACATAAGTCAAACTAGTCGACCACGCTCAGACAGATTAGTGGAACATAGGAATTTAGCCAAGTATAGGATGACAAACCAGAATAAGATCGATGATTTAGAAAAAAAAGCTATTGGAATGCGTGCATTAATATACAACCACACAATGAGGTAGGATAAAACCACTGTACATAACTCCAGTATAATTAGGTGGAGAGAGAGAGAGAGAGATTGGTTACTGAATCTTTGTTCATCGAATCAACACCCAACACATGTAATAGTAATGTTGCAACACCTATACCAGTGATATGCAAAATATTACTACCAATAAAAACAAAGAATATCAGATGACAGGACTATAAAAAACCAGCTGTCGAAAATAGTGTGATTACATTGATATGATTATGAGCAATAACTAGTGCTCAAAGTGTCATTCGGTAAATAATACTATATTACTGTGTGTTATAAATCAAATGAATAAATCTAATATGGAATTGAATTCTACCGCAGTGCTTAAAGTTTACACTTGGATTGCCTTTCTCTATTGCGGTTAAACGTTGATTTTCGTCCAGTAATTAATAACATTGATTTTCAAGCATAAAGATAACAGTTCGCAGTATGCACAGTCGAAGCCTGCTAAAAAATGTATGTACATTGCATTTATCGCCTCGCATGGTTAACTAGTTCACTACTTACCAGCCGGTCCTAAGCCCCGGTAAAAAGGGAAGGTTGGGCATAGGGCTAGCAAACCTACCCCAGAAAACCAATCAAACTGCTACAGAAACTTGAAAGAACAGACAAAATACAAAAAAAATGAAAATAAACTTATTCCTCAATGGAATCGGAGAGACGAAATGACGCCGATTGGTGAAAGCCTGCCTTCGGGAGGCCAATTGGTCGATGTATCTTTTCTCTCTCGATGGAAGTGAAAGTAAGAATGGGGTCATGGAATGTCTGCACCATGTTCGAAGCTGGCTGGCAAGGCTGTCCAGATTGCAAAGGAGATGAGAAGGTATGGCATGGAAGTGGTAGGCTAGGAATCTGTGAGGAACCTGCAGATGGAATGGGAGTGGATTCTCCAAACTGTCAACTGAAGAGGAGTCAATAATCCACTCCGATATTGTTACCCAGACAGCGACCACGAGCACACTGATTTATGGAGTGGCTATCATAATGTCCCCTTGAAGAGCACCGAAGGGTCTCTCTCATGCAGTGAAAACCAATCTCCTCTACGGTCAGGATCATGACAGCAAGATGGATTCAGCTCGAAAGGATGGAAAGTCACAATCATACAATACTACGCTACGCTACGCTACACACCTACAAATAATGGAGATGAAGAGAAGAAGGAGGAATGCTACAGACAACTGCAATCAGTGATGGATAAGACTGAATTTGGTGAAACATCAAAATTCTAATGGGTGTGGTGACATGAATGCCAAACTGGTAGCGAATAACACAGGAAGAGAACGAATCATGGATGGAGAAGGACTCGGTGAAATGATGAATGAGAATG